ACGCAAACCAACGAGATCGAGAATGAAGAAAATTTTATTACAACCACAGATTAAATAAATCAAATGTAACAATATTTCACTTGCACATAGTGAAACCAACTACGGTAAAATGGGGTGAATAGGGATCGAGATGTGAATAGGGATAAAAGAGGGGTGAATTTATACTATGAAAAATTTCCCTATATTCACCTCTCGATCCCTATCCACCCCATAGATATCCATTTATGGAATCTAGTAAACGGATCACCTTCCCTTATAAGTAATCAATCATCCTTACCGGATGGTAATCAATCAGCGCTGCCCTTGTATAATGTATACCACTACAGCCAAGCCCTATACTTATTATACTATTTGCTCTTAGCCCAGAGGAGTCACGAATGCGTTGCGGGATTGAACATACCACGACTACTTTTTTTTTCTTCCTTTGGCAACAGTCTCCAATACGGACCATTTTTTTTACTTTTACTTTGTAGGCAATCAAGTGACACTTTGGACCATAGTTTTCTTTACTGTATAGGAGAGGGTTCAGAGAGGAATTATATAAAAAGTGATACACCTTGCAACTTGTTTCAGTGATTTATTTGTACTTTTAATAAACAATCATTATTTACTTATCTAAATAATTTTTCTACATTCATGGACAAAATGTTCTATCCTGAGGACAAATATGGTACCTAATTCAAATAATTTATTCCCTAATATGTTTTTTTTTTCACATGGAAAGGAAATAACTTTACTTAGTAATTACATATGGCTATGCCTTCATAGTTTTCACACAATTGACATTAGCAGCATTATCTGCTCAATCCTTAAATGGTCACTGGTGATTGGTCTTCTCTAACTACATTATAGACCTTATTTCCATTCGGAGTCGCGGAGAACCTAACGGGTAACCGGGGCTTCGGCTCGACGTGCAGGAGAAGGAACTGGGTGGTTTTTAGTCAGTAAGAGTCTGACACTCCCTCCCGCCTCACCCAGGCGGGAGCAGTCATTCGATGATTTTCCCCCCTTAAAAAAGACCTTATTTCCAATGTTTATTTAGTAGTAGTTCATTATAAATATTCTTCATGCTTAGCTTGTTTTTCTCATATTAAACTATTCAAGTTAATCCCATTTGGATTTTTTCTTTTCAAATATTTCTTTACCATCTTTGTCAACAGCTGCGTAATATCCCATTGATTCATATTTAGTTCTCATGTATGCCATATATCCAAGAGCCAGACCAAAACATGTAGCTCCTAAAGCCATGATAACCATATTCTGAAACAAATAAAATCATCTGTTATGTATCCACAGAATGGTCTGTGTGATTTACAGTATCCTCATTTTATTATAAAGGAAATATCCTTAGGTTTAGGTATTATCACGCAATAACAATAATAATTTTGTACATATAAGTATTACATAAAGATTTTGTAGGTTAGATTTATAAAAAAAATTATTCTTACAGGTTTTGCATATAGTTCAAAATTTATAACTCGAAATGCTGTAGACGATTGCATTGACCGAATTCCATCGCCGGGTTTTGCTTCTTTATTTTCAGGTTTCATGTTGAACTAGGTTTCTTTCAACTTTAGATTTTAGGAATTTAAAAATTATTTACATATACACAATTAGATATCATTTTAATCCATCGCCCAGTAAGTACTAGGCACCGTAATGGTTCAACTCGAATTATATCAGTGTGATATAGATAGAGTTCATAAATTGATTTAATTTGACTCAAAATATTCAAATTGAATAGACTACAATACAATATTCTATGAAATATACTTCACTATTTTGACAGTTTCTGTAATAGTTATGTCAGTGTCAAATGTCATTGTCACTTGACAATTGACAGTTGACTATTGACACTTAGCACAGTTGACACTTGTCAACTGTGCCAAGTTCCAATTCTCAAAAGGCAAGCACTAGAAGAATATGACGACGCTGGACTTCAATGTTCCGGTGTTTTCATGGTTGTATCTACTGAAGATCCTGGCTTACAGGAGTTGCAGCGGTTTAGGGCGGTTGTGGCGGGCTTGTCTAAAGAAAAACCAATTCATTAGTTAAACCAAGAGTTAAACAGTAAAGTTCTTCTAATTGAAAGATATCTTATTATTATGATTTATTCATTTATCTTTTACTCGTCGAGTACCGGTTTTGCAGACACAATTATAGAACAATAGGTTGCGGTCACCGGTGACCGCTTGGTATTTGACAGTTTAAATCACACAGGTGTTGTAATTTAAACCCCACAAAATCGTTGCAATTGTTTGATTATAGGATCGAGTCACTAAGGATTACTATTAAATTTACTTATAAATATTATACAGGAAACTTATATAGAATTTAAGACATTTCTAGGTAATATGACTTTAATTTACGTTTAAACTTATTTGAATTTGTTTCACTGCTTATATCTGCCGGCAGGTTATTTAATAGATATGGTATTCTTTTTTTTAGTGTTCTACCACCAAAATAGTTGGTGAATGTAAGTATTTTATATCTACCAGCAGCCATAGTTCGTGTGTTCTTTACATTATCTTCATTTACACACTAAATCTTCATATAAAGAAATAAATTAATGCAATAACATTTAAAGTATATTATTCTTAATTCATTGTGAATTAAGTATAAAATCGTTACTATTCAGTCCATGTTTTGTCTCTGAATAGTCCAAGTGGAAAAACGAGAAGACGCTAACTGGGCTCTATGGTTTATGGCTACCTTTGGCAATTTGGAGCTTGTGTCAAATAAGATAATTATTTTCGGAAATATCTGAATATGCTAGCTAATATTCTGTAATTGTGTGTTAAGTTTCAATATTTTTCAATTTTATGTTGTTGTAAAGTTTTATTCCCTGTAAAATGGAGTCAGATTCTGCGCTTCATGCTGATGTACCCGATGGCGCGGAAGTGTCGCCTTTAGAAGAGCAAGCTGGAGATGCTATCGATGCTTCTGAAAGTAATGTAACAAGTAACGAAGAAGCCGCCGCTGCTGAGGAATCAGGTAATATTGACAAGCACGTACTTTCGTTGCACAGTGTAGTTTTTGTTTCCGACTAGGGTCGGACTTCGAATCTGATTAGATTTGAGTTTGACACCGTTATTTTGATTTGCATTTGTGTTGCTGTTTCGGCTAATTCAATAGCGGTAAAAACTGCAGTTATAGTTGTAGTACGCATGATTTGTTTCCGATCATCAAATAAATAAGAACAAATACCATTGTAGCTGCAAATGGAGGTCCTACTAGCAGCAGTGATGGGTTGGATATTGATGCTGCAGCTCAATTAGCTGAGGGTGATGATGGTGAACAGCATGCTGAGCAAGGTAAAGATGATTTCTTTTAATTTTGTTACTCATAGAGTTCTAATTTAGTGTCTTATTAAGGTTCTTCAATTTTTGGACTGACAAACACCTTTTTTGAAATCACATTTAATTGCTGATTAATAAAAATTAATTCTGTCTGCATTATGTAATATATAGTTTCGTTGTTAATATGTTAGCCTTTTTGTTTTATTGCTTTTTTTGCATGTTTGTAAGAAAATATATTATTTGTAGCAAATCCTGAAGCAGAGGCTGAAGAAGAGATGGACATTGATGACACAACTACGGGAACAGTAGCAGATGAATCAGCTTACATTGGGGACAACTGTTTGTCAACACCTGTAAGAAATGTTTCATTGAGTAGTACAAGTAAACTTCTACCTCCGTATGAAGAACTGTAAAACAAATTACTCACTCTGCCACAACTTTCTGTTCCATAGTAATGTATTTAAACTTGGATACCTTTTATTTGTCCAGGACACTGAGAGCCAGTTGGATCCGATGATGAAAGAACAGAGTTTAGATGAAGCTGAAGGCTTGGCAGGAGCTGCTGAGGAGTCTCCGGACCAGTCCATTAGTTCTGCAATGCCTACCGACAGTGGAGTTGGTGAGGGAGACGGTGTTCCAATTGTGCAAGATGGTAAGTTTATTATGTGTGAAATGTTGAAAAATTTAAGAATTAGAATTAACTCGTCAAGCGCCATCAATATAGACACAATTAAAGAATAATAGGTTGCGGTCACCGGTGACCGCTTGGTGTTTGACAGTTTAAGTGTTTGACTGCCGACATAAAACAGTTAGAGGCAAACCCTCCGCTAACTTAGGTCACCAGTGACCTAAGCGGCGATTAACATGTTAAGAAAAGTCATATGTCGTATGGGATATATAGGAGTACCCTCAACCAATGAGTAGGAGATGTAAGATTGAAAAAAATAGAATTTGTATATGTTTTGTATGTATATGTAGTTTGCTGTATCAATTACTTTTTGTTTATGTAAATTTTAATTTGCAGATGAATCTAGCACCATGGATGAAGATATGGGTGGTGGGGAGGGTGTTGCCAGCAGTGATGATGTCAATGACATCAGCAGTGCTGCACAGGATGTTCTCAGCACAGGCATTAGGTAGGGACATCTCATTAGTTGCATGTTCAACCAATAGCAAACAGAAAATGCATGTAATTTTTTGTTTTCCTCAGTTCAAGCACAGCCGAGGGTGGTGCTGATATAACTAGCAGTGGACAAACAGAAGCTCCTCTTATTTCCTCCACAGCCAATGGACCAGCAGTACTACACTCTTTCTCTCTTGCATCACAACAGCAACCCAATGAGTTAGTATTACATCTATGAAAATCTGTACCTTAATACTTGTTATGAAAACAGATTTTTACTATACTCGGAATTTTAATTCGATTCCATATTTGACAATTTCAGTGTTGCAACGTTATGACAAGTACTAAATAGTGACGTTGCGAAATTATTCGATATGTAAATGCAATATTTCTGGATCGATTCTTCTCGTTTATAATTTTACTCTCGTAAACCAAGGATATCAGGAAATTAAATATTTCTGACCGATAATTTAGTTTTAACGATTACTTAACGATCTGAGACTTTCTTTTATAGTTGTGTGTGAAATAACTAAACAAATGTAATCATGAAGGAACATGACAAATAAAACAGATAGATGTATTATGGTAATAAGTTATTTTATAAATTGTCACCGTCATCGCTATCACTATCCTGTCACTTTTTGTAACATTTATTATAAAACACACACACACTGATTGTTTATCGATTTTTGTGTTCATCACTACACTATTATATGTGGTATCATTATTTCACAAACTGACAGTAGCTATTGTCAAATCTGGAATCTAATTAAAATTCTGACTATAAGTGGTTATGGATTGTTTGTTATGTTCTGTCATAAATATTGTATTTATAATCTTTGTCTTATACATAATACTAATGTCTCAAATAAATGTTTCAGATTCAGTGATGCAGACACATCAGAGATGGAGGGTGCTGCTGATACTATGCCTACAGTCAGTGAATCAATGCCTTTGCTCACCATGGCTGCTAATGGCTCGGAATTACTCTCACCTACTTTGCTACCTGGTAACTTGTTAATTTTGGTGTTATATAAAATTTTTATCATGCACTTATTGAACAACAATATTGCTAATGTTCACCTAATTTCAAGTATTAATTGTTTTTTAATTCTGCTGCATTCTTATCCATTCATAGCATGAAATCTTAATTTATGGCCTGTGCTCATGTCTCAGGATGCTTCTTACGTGAGTGTTATTGTTCGATACGTATCGTAGGCGAGGAGGGTGGCGCAGGTGTGTCGTCGTCGGTGGCGGCGGAGGGCGCGGCGAGCGAGGCGGCGGCCGACGTGGAGGGCGCCGTCAGCAGCTCGGGCCCGGTCGGCCGCGCCGCCGCTGCCGCCGACGGACGCGGCGCACGCGCTGGCCACGCTGGCGAGCGCCGCGCTGCACCACCAACATGACCAGGTACCGCGCCACACGTGCACACACTCATATACTCATGATGTACATACATTAAGCTGCCTTTAACCATGGTATTAGAAATGGTTAAAACTGATTCGCAAAATGCATCATACAGTTGTAGGTAGTAAGTACCTACTAGGCAACCTTAATCAGATGTAGATAGCCAAATATTGTTTTGAAAAATTGATAAAAATTTACTAAGATTAGATTAGATCAGTGTGATCTCTCATCTTTCCCAGTAACCTTGGCCCAAAGTACTCTTGAACTAAGTATTATAAACACTAACACTTGAATAACCAAAAGCACAGCACTAATTTTTTTGGTAAGACTTCAATAAACATTTACAGGCAGAGGCAGAAGAACCAAAGCAACATGATGAGGATGCATGGTACACTGTTGGAATTGTTAAAGGAAACACATTTACGGTAATGTTTATTGCTCAACTGTATGTTACATAATTAATTGATCCTTATTACATTTAGAATTTGTAATTATTTTAATTTTTTAAATTACAGGTTCAAAATTATATTTCGGACCCCAATGTGGATTTGTCCAATTTATCTCTAGATAATCTACCAGATCTAACCGGCCTACCCACTACGCCACTCGAGCATGGTACTGCTTACAAATTCAGAATTGCTGCCATTAATTCCTGTGGACGTGGCGAATTTAGTGAAGTGAGTAGAAATAATATTATGAAATACTAAAAAGAAAATTATATGACAAGGGCATGGACCAGGAGTCCGTGGAGAATTGACCATGAATATTGAAAAAAAAATGTTGTCACGTACTTTATGCCCCAGTAAACGATTCAATTTTTCTTGTAGGAATCTGCATTTAAGACTTGCTTACCTGGTTTCCCTGGTGCACCATCTGCTATCAAAATATCAAAATCTGTTGAAGGAGCACATTTGTCGTGGGAACCACCACAAGTGGCCGCAGAAGGCATATTCGAATATTCTGTGTATCTAGCTGTGCGGTCAACTACACCATCTAAGGTAAATTAATTGCATGTAATTTTTCTTACAATGTGTAGTTCAATATCGCGTATTGAACTGAAAAAGTTAACTAAATAGAATCATCATTGTTCAAATATTAACTAATTCTTTGCTTTTAGGAACCAACGAAATCACAGCTCGCGTTTGTACGTGTCTACTGCGGCAAGGCCAACACTTGTGTGGTGCCACAGGCGTCGCTGAGCGCGGCGCACGTCGACTCATCCACTAAGCCAGCGATCATATTCCGCATCGCCGCGCGAAACGAGAAAGGATACGGCCCAGCTACCCAAGTTAGGTGGTTGCAAGGTATGTATTACAATATATTTTTTACTAACTACAAACTAATTTCTTGCAGAAAACACATTATAAGGTCCTACTTTATTAGTCCCGGTCTTTTTAGGCGAAAACAATCAGAGTAATATCAATAAATATTTTAAAAGAGAGACTCAACAATGGCAAGTTTTGTCTAGTAGTATCACAACGTGAGGTACCAATCAGTCATGAATTATCAAATAATTGCCATGCGAGTGTTTCATTAAGCCTAAAGAGCAATTTCACTTTAGCTTCTTTGTGGTAGTTTTTCTACGATATAATTTATCCGGCTACATCGACATTGTAACCCTTGTGGTATTAACATAAGTAGAGCAGCTTTTAACTATTTCGAAAGGGATTGCAGGATTATGAGGTATGTTATTCTATTCGGTGAAGTATTCAGTGCTTTCAGAATGCTCGTTTGAGCGTTAGCACAAGGATGTGTACACTACAGGTACTGTCGCAAAAAACCAAACAAGTAACAGGAGTGGAGAAGGTGGCGTCAAGAGTTCGCCGCCGCCCCCGGCCGGGGACTGTTAGATGGCACGCCGAGTTGCGCCGTCCGCGGTCCGCGGGCCGGCGGTCGCTGGTGTCGGTAAGCGTAACGTAACTAGCCGTTGTGTGTAAAACTGTATACTTTGTTTTTATTTTACTTTTCACATAGAATCAACGAACATCGCGAAACTAGTGTTTTCTTTATTTATATTTGTTCCTTTTTTTTGTTTTTTATGGACCAGGACTAAGATGTAGGACCTTGTATTTATTTTTTGTACTTTTATTTACATTTTCTGTCAGTTGAGCATAGTTTTTAACTAATGATGTGACGTTGGATGTTCGAAATTATGCCTTTTTCGTAAGAGGCATAAAATTAGAAAAATTTACTGATAAAGAGGACCTTATATTTATTTTTATTGTTTTGTGTCGTTCATTTGATATCAGGAATACAGTAATATAATTTTTATTTCGACAGTTGTTATTAGTCCCATTTTTCTACAGTTCTTTTATTAATTCCATTTTGTAGAGGTGAGTAAAATGTTATGGTTGAAATCAATAAACACTGTTGAAGATTGTGTTCAGTAGTGTGTAAATCAACAGATATCGTAGCGTGAAATAACAGGAGTATCTCATGTCACACCATAATATTTGTTTGTTACTATGAAAATTAAACAAGTAACAAAATGTGTTTGTAATATTTAATTTGGCATTGCAGATATAAAATCTACGGGCGTGAAGAGAGCAGGGGAAGGCAGACTATCGGGTGCTTCACCTTCCAAGCAACCCAAGCAAATATTGCACTAAGTGTTGAGTTTGTGACAGTTTTAAAAGTTTAATATAGACCAATACATTAGTTTGTACAGGACTACAGATTTGTTTAAATCAAGGTTAGTACTTTACTAACTATGTTATTTTAGTATAAGTAACTATTGAGAGTGAAATCTCATGTCGTTTTGTAAACAGAATTCTTTATCTATCAACCCCAGTACACATTGAGTTTGCCTATTTCCTCTAGCTAGTATTAATATGTTGAATGTAAAGTATAATTTTATGGACTTGTTACCGTTGTTCACGTCCCGCGGTAATATTAGACTGACTGATGTATTAGACGCAATGAGATGGATATGCTAAATATGGAAATGTTATACACATATCTGTGGAATATAAATATTCAAATTTTGACTTTATTATTTTAACAACCCAGGAGATATTTATTCCTATAAGAACGGGAGAAATAGGATTCTTGAGCCAATTTCACCACAAACGTGTTGCTTTTTTATATTTCTAGTATGAATTTTAGACAATGGTATAGAAACCTATAGTGCAATAGTGGTGAAATTGGCTGGTAAGGATAAAGAATATACATAAATTGCATTTGGCTTTTAATACTTAATTACATATTATTGAGTACACTATACATTTGTTTCATTGCTATAAAATGCTATCTATTCAAAACTCCGGTAGGCATTCCAAAAGAAAATAAAAATACAAATTATTATTAATATTATTTTATACCTTTCGTTTTATAGAAAATTTCCTATATTCAAGATATTTTGCGTTTTATTATGATATTAAAGCAGTATCACTAAATTTATTATTTGGACAATTTATAATTTTTATTGTGATATAGGTTCACTCGACACTTGTACACAGTGTAGAACCTTGGTTACTGCAAGGGAAAATAATTGTGATTAGTAACACTTTACAACATAGCTATATAGTATTCAATGTTATTGAATCAAGCGAAGACTTACCAATGAAGTAGTTCCAAAGAGTTTGTACCATCCTATGACAATATTAGATAGGTTTAGGTCATCCAGCATGATCTGCGCCACACCCATGAACACCTTTTTACCCTCTATGCGCCCGTAATCACCCCACACTGTCACCTGGGAATAAAATCATATATGTTATAAGACGTTATAAAAATTAAACGTATATCTAGTGCGTAGTTATTAATTTTTTTTTATTTATTTATTTATTTATCAACACTTCATGCACAAAGTGTACACAAGGTGGACTTAATGCCGCAGGCATTTTCTCCCAGTCTGACCTTTTATCTTAATTATCTAATTTATCAATGTTTTTACAAGATTGTCCACTGGCGATTCTATAAAAGGACATTAGTATTTAAATAGAGGAATAAGTTAACATGAATAAAGTTAGCTTACCTGTAATACGCAACCTTTGAAGTTTTCTCTAAAGGTAAGCGTCTGCTGATAGAGTGGGTCGAGCGTTCGGCGCGCTGTGCTCGTCTTAGCTTTAGCGATACAACGCTTGCCGCTAACTAGGTACACTTTAATGTAAGGCGCAGGCAGGGTCCGTCTGCCTGGCTGTGATACCAGACCTCTAGCACGGATTACCTCCACCTAAAAAACCACCAAACTAGTTAATACACTTTTTAATCATTAATCGTGTTAAACAGTATTTGCATTAATTACTAATAAATAAATTAAAATGTATATTTTAGCAGAGTACAATATTAACCTCCAAAAATCCTTTCTGGTAACACATGGATAGTTGGACGTCGCCCTGCGTGGGCGCGCCCAGTAACTGTCTGCCAACTAGTTGTCCTGGCCCTAAGCCGTCGATGAAATCGGAGAGCCCACCTCCATCTGAGCCAGAGCCTCTCATACCAGGAGACCATCTAAAACAGGTGAAACAAATTATAATGTCCAGACCTATGGGAGAACTTAGATGAAATCCAGAGTTTTTGAGAAATTGGCCCATCACTGTAATTTAGACTTTGTTTTTTATGGACTACACAGACCAACAATTCACGAGCCCACATCAGTATTTTTTAATTTCAATCGTAGATCAAGAACCTCTATAAGTGGATGCCCCTGTGTTCGTCTATATGTAATTGATCATGTCACGAGGTACTCGTGATTTGCTGACTTACTTTTAATTTAATACCTACTTTGAATGCATGAATGAAAGAAATTTACAAAAATGATTGATTTTACTCAAATTAATGAATATTATTGATGGGAAATATTTCAAAACAAGGTTAAGATAATCACATAGAAGATATAATAAGTAATAATAAAAATATTAACCAGACCTTTTAGATACTACTAAAGGAAATAGTTAATAAAAATAATAATTAAATACAACATTTACAACATTGATACAATAGTGAAGAAGAGGGCGGTAGTCGTTCGGATGCATCGATTGGTAAAGTTAGGCAGAGCACGTGGATACCAGGTTCTAGGTTCTATTAAAGTATCAAGACATCTAACTAGTAGATGTAATTGTGTAAAGGTGCAAGAAACGCTAGAGAATGGTCTGCATCTATTAAGTAGATAGGTAGTAGATCTTAGTGGATTAAACAGAATTAAGTCTATGAAGATAATGTTTAATAAAATAATAGTAAATAAAGTTGGATCGTACAGATTCATATCTATTCTAACTCGGATTCAGTCTATCTACAATTCCTTTAATTTAACATTGTGGTAGGTATTTATTTAGCTCTAGAAAGTCATAGGCGAATAACACAACAACAAACCTGCACTCTTCTGACATCACGTTTCCTAAGTTTTCATGACACAATGCAGGCAACAGTGATGTTATAAAACTCTCCACGCTTTGACACTTCAATTTTGATAATGTTACTTAGATTGTTATGGAAAGGACTAGTGATATTCAAGTGAGACATGCATGATTGTTGATGTAGATATTATGTGTACAACGATTAGACAAAAATGGAAAATTTGTGTAACGGACCAAAAATAAGTGCATACATCATAGGCTTTCAGGCAACATTTATCATCCAATCACAATCGTGCATCATGAAATCAGGATCGCTTCACTTTCGACTGACGAATTCGCTGTCCCTGGATATGTGACTGAAAATGGAGAAACGTCGAACACGCAGATTCTTCGGCGTATAAGGTAGCGGTTTCATGTTACATACGTACGAGAAGGTGCGATGCCTATGCAAGAGAAGACACGTGCGTGCTGAACAGAAAAGTATGAGTGAAACACACCAATATAACTGGAATCATGCTTTGACAAGACGAAAGGCACATAGAGAGGGGCAAAGTATTTAGAAGACGCGAGCAACATCGAGGCGCACATACAAAATGGAAGTCTGCAGGCAGCTTGCAAACTGCGGCGTAAAACGGAGCGGTCGAGCGGGCGACTTACGAGGATCCCTCCGAGCTAGATATGGAGACAAGGCTGGTGGCGCACACCTCGTGCGACCGCTTGAAGGCCGTAGTGGCGGTGCCGGAGCGCTTGCGTCGCGCGCCGCCGCCCTCTACACGACTGGCGCGCGCTGCCCGGCGGACGCGACGCCAACACGCCCGCCACGGACAACGGCGCAACATACATTTATTACCCGTCCAAAAGCACATTAATCTACATTTTCAGGAATTCATACCTTTGCGAAACATTGTCTCTATATGAACAACCACCGTTTAACGACAGTGGGTAGGTCAGTTGTAATTGTATGATTGATGTGATTATTTCTTTAGTTTTTAAAACAAATTATTTCACATAGGTATTAATTGTTTCTTTCGAGTATTTGGTTTTTGATTTGGAAATTGGTTAAACTTATATACAATTTCTTTTTCCTTATTTACTTATACAGAGTGGGATCAAAACAAATTCCACTCAGTACTATAGGTACAATGACAATTATTTTAATTATATGTATATGTACTGGGATAAGTTATCGAGATTTAATAGATTATTAACAGATCATTTGAAGTTAGTAGCAATAATTTAGTTATAAAAATATCTAATAGACGGGTGTACCAATTTGGAACAGAATCTTCAAGTGGGGTGCAAATATTTCCTCCTCCAGCATTAAAATTCACATTAACCAGAAAAAGCTCTCTCTACATTAGCTGACTTTACAGAAGCGACATAGCACATTAATTTGTCTTATGGCATTTTATAACATGCTGTTTGAACTACATCTTTATGCAGATGGTCTCTCTGTCGTTTCTTCGCGACCTTTGTGTCGTGGAAGTGTCAATACGCGAGTGATCTACCGCCCCGGGCCAGGTGCCACACTATTGTGTCAATGTCGACGGTGCCAAACACCGCGAACCTGTCTTCGTCGTTCTCGCTAGAGGCTGAAGAGGCCCGAGAGACTCCACTCATGCCTCCACGCATTTCGCCGGGCACCACTTCCTCGCTTCGTTGCACCGTAAACGAATTTTTCCCACGTTTACCGAAACCTAACCTCCGTTTCCGACCTGTGATTATCGCACCAACACTTAAATTGTTTACTTTCTGCACATCTGATTCCCGTAGGGGGGAATTCAGTAGAATTTATAAAGTAATTGGTGATGTTTAATTCACCTGTTGCCGACAATTGTGAAGTAGAATTGCTTTTCTTGCCCATGCCAGGTCCGAAGTAGTCTCGAGGTTCCGCTTTCAGTAGAACGTCGTCGTTCGCAGGCTCCAGTTCGCCTGCTCCGCCGAGAGCAGTGTCACTTAGGCTGCCGTCTTTAGAAAAAGTCACACCTTATTTTTAAATGTTAGTTTTAGATACCAATAAACCATTACAATATTTTACGAATTACCTGCTTTTTCATCCGGTGGCACATCTGCATTGCTCAAACTCCTAGTAAATTGACCTCGACGTGACTCTCGCCTCTCCAAGGGTTGTTGCTGTTGATTGCTACCATTGCCGCGTCCATTGTCTCGTCCACCATAGTCATTACTACGTTTCGAATTCCGTCGGTGTACGGGTTTTTCATGTATTGTCGATTGTTTTTTTTGACGGTTTGTTTCACGTCGGTGATGGTTAGTTTGAGGTGGTGAGCGCGCCGATTCAGATTTGGCGTCGGTAGTCGGCGTCGGTCCATCCAACATGGGAGTTTCCACCGACACATCATGAATGTCGTGATGAATGTCATCAAGTGGCAGGTGTGAGGCGACAGGAGTGAGCGCACGACGGGGCGAGCCGAGGTTCGGAGGAGAAAGAGCAACAGACAAAGAATTAGCCATAATACTAAATTCTCGATCTAAATGATATGTCGCTGCTAAAGAATATGACCGGGGTCGAGCTTTTTTAATAATGGAAGGCAAAGGTTTTTTAAAGGATAAGTCAATACTAGTTTGAGGGGAAGCGGAATTGGGGGAACGATATTCTTGGAAAGTGGGAACTTCATTAATACTAACGCTATTGCCGTACTTTATCTTCACTTTGGACTCTGGAGGCGAGTCTAAAGTATTTTTTGAAGTAATGCTCATTCTCTTAAACAAGTTTCTAATTTGGTCGGGTGTTGATAACTCTTGTGGTGAAGTTTTCAAAATGACTAGCGAATCAGAATTTCGCCTCCGTTCTAATTTCGGTTTTTGTATCTTATCTACTTTGACTAAGGGATTGATGTTGAGCATAGGGTTTTTAATATCATCTTGAGTTTCACTCACATCTAATGGTTTTGTTTGCTTAGGACATTTTTGTTCATAATTGGTTTTCAAATCGAGGGATAAAAACTTTTTTCGATTTATATGAGATGTGAGTGGATTAGAGTCTGTTATATTTATTAATTCATGCGCATTCAGGTTCAGTGTTTCGGTTTCTGTTTTAATATCATGTGAATTCTCTTCCCCTAAACTGTCTGAATAATTTCGATTCTCTTTTTGAATTGAATTATGATCTGGTGTACCATCACAATCATAATTATTATCGTAAAGTTGAGAATTTATTTCTTCCATTTGTACTAAATCAACAGTACAAGAGCTAATTGCATTTTGTTCAATTTTGTTATTATAATTAATAGAAGGAATATCAGGAAGCATTCGTATGCGCGAATTGGTTATATTTTCTACTACTGGAAGTCTCCTTCGTTTAACTTCTTTACTTACATCTGGTTGATAATGTTCTTCATCCCAGTCACTGGATTCAGGGTGAAGTTGTATTTTTTTTCTAGTCTGATGCATATACTTTTCATTTGCTTTTAATTGTATTGGTCCTGGACCGTAATATATGTTACCGGGCAAAGATCTTTGCTCCCTATTTATAGAAATCGTTGTGACTACTGATGGTTTCGGGGTACGGGACAAAGTCATATGGAAGATATAATCTTTTTTATTTTCAGTAATTTTATATGTGTTTGTGTACACGGGATACTCGGGGCAGCTGTGACTGCGTTCATAAGCGTGCCGGTGGTGAGGGTGTTCTCGAGTGCAGGAGCCGGCAGAGCGGCTGCGAGCTAGTATGCGGCGCAAGCGGCGGGTGGGGCGAGCGCGGTGATGAGCCGGCGGCGGCGCTGGGTGCGACCGGAGCCGGCGCCGCACCGCGCGCTCCGCACCCGCCGGGATACTGACAGACGGTAGGAGTCGGCGTGGGGGGCGATCATTACGGAGGATTGGGTACGAATAAGGAACAGGGGTAGCACTATCGCAAGACGAAGATGTACTATGAGGGAGAATTCGTTTCCGGCTGTAAAGTTATGTTAATAATAACTTTTAACTTTAATACTGAATTATATTGAAACTGATTTGAGTAGATATAGCCCTAATATTGTAATAATATGTTGGTTGTAACACACAGTAGTGGACGTGTGTACCTATTAACGTACCTGAGCATCCTGGTGGGCCGTGGTCGTTCAGACTGCGTGCTGAAGGCGCTGGAGGTGACGGAAGCGACGGACTCGAGGTCGGAGTCCTGCGCCGCGTTGTCGGGTGACAGTCGGCGTCGCGGGGCCCAGCTCCCTGCGCCCGCGCCACCGCCGCTGCGAGCTGCCAACTCTGAGTCGGACAGTCCTGCGTAATGTCTTTCCCACCCTACATTATAATTGTTCTCACTGATATACAAATTTATAAAACAATAATGTGACAAAGTATTCATTAGGTACACGATTCATGTTTTAATTCTCTGTAGGTGACTATATACTTATATAGGTGCAATTGTCAAACTACAAGTTCCCTATTAGTACTGGTAAGCGCGTTTAGTGTCAGTCTGATATTGTTGGCACCCGAAAACCGATTATCCACTTTACGTCGCGATGTACTAATCATTTTTGACGACGGTCAATCGTACCGACGATCTCAACAGCTGATACTCCGTCCCTGCACTACCCATCTGAGGGTAGTACGAGTTTGTTTCACGTTAACGCGATCGACATGTTTATGAAGTTCGGCGTTCTGATTGGTTAGCTCCAATAATCCAACCAATCGGAGGGCTAAATGCGGTAACGTTTTGATCGCGTTAACATAAATAGAAGCTCCACATTTAAATGATATTAACTGAAATAACTGCACTATACGTTCTAAGACAACATAATGTCGAACTATTGTGTGAAGTGTAGTAAAGCAGATTGTCACATTGTTGTACCTGATAGTTGTATACACATTCTCTTGTAAGGGGTTGCTTGACACAAGTACTTGCAAGAATTATGTTCGTTGATATGAGTGTATGCAACTGTCTGATAACATTTATAGGGCTGTGGGGGTGGGGGAGGTAACAGGAGCGGGGCAGCGTGTATTGACCTTGTGGCGTGCTGCGGTAGGTGAGTGTGGCGCCAATGTGGTGCGGGGCGATCCACTTACGTTCCTCCAGGTCCGCCGACACCTGCGCGCGCACCGCTCTCTGCCCGCCCTAACGAAACGTTATATCTTTAATGTTTTTTATTTTTCCATTTGTCTACTATCTTAGGAAAATAATACAATTGAAGTATTTACCTGGTGATGAGGTATTTGTGGCAGTTGTCGTTTCTTGGGGCTGGTAGTAGGTGTGGCCGTGGCTGAACGAGACTGGAAACGTGGCGCGTACGCGTGCGTCGGCAACCGTGACCCGTCACCTCGGTCCTCGTTCACTGCGATATTACACACAACATTAGTTTCATGCCTATTGGTTTCATATTTGTCTTAAACTCATGTTAAATACATGCAGTTGAAACTTTGATTTTTATTCATACTTATTAGTAAATACAAAAATACAATACATTCATACATAACAAACAAGACATAGGTTCTTTAAGTCATACAAAACAAGTAGGTAGGTAAGTAGGTACAGGTACAACAGACTTACGAAGGTAGCCTTTGAAAAATAAGTCATAAGTTATATTAGATTCAGAATTACATGCAATCATTAATTATGAAATGAATTACATTAACATTTAACAATTAATTGCGCTATATTCACTGATTTGACGTCCATGTTAATTATTTGTAAACTGAAATCGAAAAATCGGAATACAGCGCATATCAACACCCATAACAATGGTTAGCGTGCTCATATCAGGTAGATAAGGACGAGGTCAGCGGAAGATGCATGAAACAAACTCAAAGTGGAACAGAGCTAGGAAGTGAAACAGTAAGTGGCAGTAAAGTGGTGATGAGCGGACGCGGCGAAAGAACGTGCGTGTCTCGACGACAGTGTTCCGTGCGGGGTCGGGGCCCGCTGTCATTGCGACGTCCACGGACCAATCGGAAAAGAGTTTCGGACGCCGACAATGTTAGCAATGTCGGCGTCCGTAGTTGTGATTGGTGGGTAGAGTCTTAGGGCGCCGGTGCGGCACCTGTGTAGCGCCAAGCGTCGCGGTCAGCCGGAGGCGACAGCGAGCGGCGCGGCGACTTGCTGCGCGCGCGCGCCGGCCGCGCCACGCCCGCCGCCGACTGCGACCGCGCCACTGCGTACCCGCCGCTCTACACAGACACATCGCCACGTTATATCTCCTCCTAACACACGACATCCTTCCGACTCCCCTTGTTGAGCCCATACTTTGTCATTGTCAATAAAGCTACAGCTATAGTAGCTAACTGTAATGTCTCATACCGGTGAAGAACTAGTAATATGGTGTCCTGTAATGTAACTATGGTGTTATATTGTACTTACGTCAGAACATTTAACGTAGGATAGTAAGGATCATTTTCATGTTACATAGGTAGGTATTGTTAATTTCTTTTCTTCTGAGAGGAAAATATGTACCCCAGGATATTAAGTTCATCTGAAAGTCGTGCAAACATTTAAATACTAAGATACTAAGCAGGATTCGAACCCGATCTTAAGATAAAATTATCACTTGTGAGTAATTAGATTGGGTTAACTGAAATTTTGGTTTGGTGTTAGAACGGCCAATACAATCGGCCACATGTTTCAAATTTCAATTAATTGTGGTTTGTTCTACGACGCGCGTTATTAGTAAAGGGCTGTTGTATGTCATTATTAGTCATGGGGGTAAGAAGCCACGTGTGACAGACTGTACTTGTTAGGTGGAAGTAACTCACGCGTTCTCTGTTCATGCCCGCAGCCCTCACCCGGCCCGCCGGGGACATGTCGCGCCGGCTAGATCGAGCTCCCTCCATGTCCATTCGCTGAGAAAATATGAATATCATCCTTAGCGTATGTACTAGTAAGAAGACTACAAGGAACTGGAGCTTCAAGTCGTATTTCGAAAACACAAATGGTCTTTTGATCATTACCGACATTGTGTGACCACTTGAACAGGTTCAAAATGCATTTTCATATACACAATAGTATTTTATAGAATTAAGGTCATGTTTATTATACTAGAAGGAATATTTACATCGTGTGGCGGCGGCGGGCTGGAGCTGGAAGCGAGGCTTGAAAGTGAATGATGTCGTCGCAGGTCACACTCGCTCGGCGTATCCGAGTCAGAGAGACGAGAGGTGGACGTCGACGGAGGAGACAGGTGCTCGCCGTCGGCCTCGTCCTCACGGTACCTCTGGTGAGTTAAACATATTATATTTCTTCAATACAGCTCAGCTAGATAACATGTGTATTCCCTTCTACAAGTTACAAATACGACTGTTCCTGATTCGATCGAAGGGAGCTTGGAAATGAGCCAACTGTATAACAAGGCGTTGTATAGCCTGTGTAGCCTGCATGGGAATCATAATCTGACCTAAAAATGAAGTGGGTAGGAACCACGGTCCGAATTATTATCCCTGTTTAGTCTCTTCTCTATTGAATTGGTTAATCATAAGGTTCAAATCTCCCAAAATTTGGATTTAAGGGTCATTTTTGTCTTATAGAACTTGCGGCTTGGCCAGGACCGTCATCTATTTTGTAAATTTTTAAAATACTTACGCTGAAGCTTCCCATTTCCTCGTGTGGCTTCAATGTGTACCATGTAGGTTCATGGTTCATCACGATATTGTCTAAATCAAGCAGGACTTCCCCTAGAAAGTCGTTTGGGCCATAGCGGTTTAAGTCCCAAACGGTTACCTAAAAATATAAAAATGTATGACTTAGTAAGTTCTTAATTAGTTAATAGTTCTAAATGAGTAATACCATAAACACTTACTTCTAAAGTTCTCCGCTTTATGTCTGTTATTCGAATTCCACAATAGACAAAATTTTGATTCCATCGTGGTTCTAGGGTGTTAGCTAAAGTTTTCGTTCGTCGTTTGCTCTTCTCGCTTTTATCGGGTAACAGGAACAGTTTCGCGTATGGGCATCTAGGTGAGCCGTCGGGCCGTGGAGTGAGTCCACTCGCCGACACTACAGTTACACACAGCTGTGTCGCGGATACGTCGAAGTAAATTTTGAGCTGTCAAAATTTGAATATTACTTAAGCACTTATCTTCTAATCACATATTGATAGTCATGGCCTTAAATCCTTACTGTCTTACTCCAATGTTAAAGATATTTATAAATATGTACATCCAGTTGACTGCGGGTCGGATATTTGACCCAGTAAAGTTTTTGTTACAAGAACCTCAATAAAAACGAATAAGCTGGGATTGGAATTGCGCCAGATTAATAGCGTTGACTCGCCCCTGGAATATTGCTCGAATAAAAGTTAAGTCGGTCTCCAACATTTGGAAGATTGGGTTAATTTGACCGCGAGTGTGTAATATGAAACATACACAGCAGAAGAAACCCACGCACGGTTATTGCTATCCAAGATGCAACGGCGGATGAATTAGGCGTGGGACCTCGAGCAAATTTTATGGTTCATTTACGTGATGGAAATATGAATCCAACTGAACAGGGGCGTGGGTGTGGTAAGGTAATTCCCAAACTATTCTAGCTTTGAACCCTGAACAATTTAGTATGTACAACACATACTTTACTATTACTACTTTACTAAAAAAAGGGTTCTAAATTAGAGATGAGTTTGACGTGTTAATCTGACACCGCCAGGATGCCCAACTACTGCCAATCCATTTTGTGCCTAATCTTATTCTAAGCTGTCACCATGAAGTGGCTATATGTAATTATCACAATTATTATATGACTAGCTTCTGTCAGCGGCTTCACCCGCGTTCCCGTAGGATAAAAAAGTATTCCATGTGTCTATGTGTTATTCCAGACGATAATCTACCCCAGTTCCAAATTGACGTGAAAGACTTCCGTTCCCGTAGGATTTTCAGGACTTTTTCTGTCTTAAAAACCTTCTCCTAATAATAGCAAATACAACAAAAAAGAATTAGTGGATTCGGTCCAGCCATTCACGCATGATCCCGTGACCAAGGGAAAAAAGGATTCAATTATATATAGATAGATTAGTAAGGTAGTACGTAAGTACGATTAGATATTCACGGGCAATCACGGGCGTGTTTGCCTTACCTGGATGCGTCCAGCTACATTTGCGTTGTGATGGTTATATCGCGCGGGCCGACGTCGTGAGTGTACATCTGGTGATCCCGGTGACGTCACCAACACACTCGGTTTTTCGCAACCTCCCATCACGTCCGTGTACACTTCTGTGGACGTAGAACCAATTTAATTCTTTACGGAAAACATTCTGCTGATTAATTTACCAGTAATTTTCGTTCATAAATCTAATTTTAACGTAGGTTTCGAGTAATTTGATGTCAGTTTTAGTAACAGATTAGTGTTTAATAGTTGCTTATAATTGCGATAGTAATCAGGGTCACCAATTTGTCGCCAATGCAGTGGTGACAATAGGGAATGACTTATCACTTTTATTTCCAACCATCTCCAGTGGTGACAACCGAGAAAGTCTAATTGATTCTACCCGGTGACGCTACGTAATCTGTTCAGGTATACAATGAAGTAATTCAGAACCAAAATTAAAACAAATCTTACCTATGACCGAGATAAAATATTATTTCTTGTGTTGAAACACAGCGATGAAGATGTAGACGGCGGGAAAATGGTATTGTTATGTTCAGAAGGTACCTTTGTGAGTTCTCCAGGGCACTGCAGGCGTGCGCGTCGCGGTGAGAGGTCGTGACACCACGAGCTCCACGTGCAGGTCGTGCTTACTGTCCGCTACCACTGCGGCCACCTCCTCCGCGCTTCTGCCTTGAAGCGGCACACCGTTCCATTGTAGAACTTCATCACCTACCAATCAAATTACATATAAGTTTTTATATAATTTTAAGTTATTTTCAAAAGTTATAAGGTTCCATAGTATTTCTACTCTTAACAAAATAGATGTACTTACCTATCCTAAGTTGTCCTTCAAGGTCCGCTATGGATCCTTTCTTGACCTTTTCAACCACTGCAATTCTCGTGCCGTCTGGTTGGAGTTTTCCTCCAACCACTTTCAGGCCGAGGATAGCCGCCGAAGAATGTGAACTACCTTCCACGACGCTCTTCCGGAGCACCATATGACCAATCATGCGCGTGCCATCCGCAGACACCTGCCAGCTCAGCGGAAACTGTACGACACCATCACATTACATTCATTAGTCGGCATCTCCACTGGGCACCTATTCGATACGTCCATAGTCTAAATGATTAAGTTATCGATGTTATTAAAACAATACAGCTACTCCACGAAGCTTTAACACCGTGTAATTTACAAAGAAGTGCACACTCAACATAGATAGGATGTAATGCATGCTCGCAAATGCAATCATGCTACAGCCAATAATATTCTTCGAAATTAATGTCTTATTATACCTCGCACGCGTTCTACTTTTGTTTTTTATTATAAGAGTATCATAGTGGTCCATAGAATTAAATACATAAACTAAGTATAAACTTTTGTGGAACGCAAAAGTTAGCTATTGTAAAAGGCCTAACTTCATTGAAACAAAATGTGAATTTGGTTTTGGTAACGCTAAGTGACGTAAACAATACGTATTTATCAAACAAATATTATAATAATATAGCTCAATCATCTATTACGTACGTCTTCCTACATATTACGCATTATCAAACCGCAAACTGAACTAATAGATAAATGGGTACTAATTGAAGCAACTAACCGACACAATGTGAAGCGGTCTGTACCTTAGGGCAATCGCCTCTGTTCGAATCTTCACTGGAGGTGAAGGTGCTAGAGGTATCGATGCCCGAGTCTTTGGTGGCGGAGTCCTGGCTGGTCTGGCGCTCGGGCTCCCAGCGCAGCGCCGCCCAGTCGTGCGGCGCGCCAGACGCGTCACGCCCGCCCCGCGGAAATGTCGCGGCGCCTTCGTGCCCGTCAAAGCGAACGGTCTTTTTTCTCCTCTCAGTGAACCGTCTATTGTCTGAGGAGTCTTCCCACAAATAGGCACTCTTATATACAGCTCGGTCTGGGCGCGGGCCTTCTTCTGGTGCATATGGCCGAAGGTACGCACCTTCGCCATCGTCTCGGGCCCGCCACCGGCAATCGGTCACAGAATCAAAGCTGCGTCCACCTGATGGCCCGGTCCTCGGCACGTCGAATTGAGCGCGAGCCTCAGCCTCGTAATCGGCCGGCGAATGATTAATCAAATTGTAATAATTGTTGGCAGCCACGTTGGCGCTACGCAGATGTGGGTGCCGAACTGGAGCACATGCCTCTAGTTGTCCTAAGAATGATATCGAATGAATAACAATGTCTGCCTTATAGAGGCAACTTGTCATCGCCCGCGTCCGTTCTTGTTATGGACCCATGCGCTTGTACGCGCCCAGGAACGAAATACGAACTACTTTTTACTATATTTCTAATCGAATTATCCCTCGACATAGGATCGTGATACTGACCGAAAATATGATTTCTTTAAGTAAGTAAAACTGCGTGTTTCTTCGGTTAAAATAAAGTAATCGAAAGCGGTGATCATCACGCAGAAGCGGAAAGAATGTGTCAAACTTATCCGAGTAAGACAGTAAAACAGCAACAATAAAATAAAGTACACGACCACAAACAGTTCTAACGGATTTAGAATAAAAAATATGAACAAGTACACTTCTTTTCGCCCAAGCATGCGTTTGTTTGAACCATAAATAATGTGCTGAAGCCACTAGAATGGAAACAAACAATTACAGCATTTATAAAGGAATAAAGGTATGTAGTAAATCATGTATGTAACATCGTATTTTTGGTTCAAACAATAGGAAACTTTGAAAGAGAAGAACATTCACTAATTTGACATTGGAAGCTTACTTTCTTTTCTTATCAGACACTTGTTTTTTAAATAAAAGTAATAATTGGTACTTAAAGAAATTAATGAATGCTCTTCTTAAAACAGGTCTGAAGACGGTTGTCTTCGAAGAGATAGGACGATATCAACAGCCATCACAATTGGTTCACCAGAGTAAGAAGTGTCATACGTAACAGTAATACTGATCATCACATCTAAACTTCAGCAATATAATTACAACGCATAATTAGATAGGTTCCCGACAAACTCGCCCTCTCACCGATAAGAATTTATTCATTTTCTCGTTTAACATCGTCTGACGCTGGCTTCTGGAACTCTCGGAACTGCTCTTATCATTATTTGTACCTGCGAACAGGGGATGGCGTGGTGAGGGCCACTCGTCGCCAGAACGCCAGGCGCCAGGCGGTGCGACTACCGGGGGCTACCGGGAGGCTACCGGGCGCGTACAGAGGGCATGGCGCTAACAAGCGAAACGTACGTGGCGGCGAACGATCACATGTTTACTAAATATAATGCCCCAAACCTAGCACGCACTCATTCTTCTGTGTGCGAGGTTTGAAGCCTTACGACTTGACGGTCTCTGAAAATAAGACTGATTGAGCAAACAGTGTTTATGTCTTGAATTGTTATTATATTCGGGCTCTAAAATGTTACAATGAAACACGATTAATATCGACTACATGATTCAACGTGATGGAATACATATATGGACACAGATAAGTTTAGGTGCTCAACACTATCAGTTTCAGTGAGATATATAATACTTAGATAACTAACAGTAACAATTACCTGAAGCTACTTAAATTAATGAACACCTCGCACGGAACACCTTAACTTTATCATTGCGTAATGAACATGACCAACGTTATGTAGACGGATAGAGTACATGTACCTGATTGATGTGTGTCGTGTGGTGTAATGTGTAGGGTTGATAAACAAAATTAGCTTGGATGGAAGGGATCTCGTAGTGTTACAAGTGAAAGGATTGGGTGACGGGTGTTAGGCCAGCGTGCATACTTACCCCGATCTCGATACTCGTCGTTTTCATCGGAAACGCATTCTGGAGCTTCGTCATCGGACGAGGAAGACCGAGGCGGAAGAAGGGGATGTGACGCTGGCGTAAGCGGCAGTAACTGGGATGTGGGAGGTGCTCCTGTCTCGACTACTCCGTATGCAGCCTTTTGTCTCGGATGAACTAAATGTGGATGCGTTCTAGCCAGTCCTTCTAGTTCCCCATAACATCGTTGGTCTTGTTGACTATATTGGCGACGGAGAGCACTACCTGACCTTTGAAGTGGGAGGTTTTCTTTTTCCGCGGCACTGTGCGCCCTCTCTAGTTTCGGTCTTTTATCGAATGACCCGTCAGGTTGTGGTGGTAAACCTCGGAGATCATTCTCCATGCGCCATAACATAGAATCTTGTCCAGCACTCTTGTGGATCCATTGTCCAGTTTTAGATAATAATTCTTGTTTCTTGCGGCACAATATACATACCCATATAACCTGTAATAAAAACATTTGTGACAAACTTTCCTCCTATGTCGGAAAATGATGAGTTTAGTAAGAGTACTTGGTTGAGTACCAAGTTAAAATTTGAGTTTGGTGTGTAGTTAAAATAGTTGACCTTGTTAGAACGAAGAGTAACTTTGCCGCCACATCTGGCGCAGCACCTCACGCGGCAGTAGTGGCACGAGTGGCCGACGCCGTCCGCGAACTTAGTCTTGAGGCAGATATGACAAGTTGCAGCGAGCTCTACACCAGCTGCGCGGTGCATTTCATTCCGAGTCCGGATCGTCTGCTCAAGCACCGTAACTTCATCTTGCTTACGTCTGTATATAACGATCAAATATTTAAACAAAAGCTTTCTAATATTAAAGAGGAAGATTACGATATTTAACTGAATCAACCACTACAGAACAAAAACTCATAAATATGAGTAATTTTTACCTTAAACCAACTTTTTTAAGAAAATTTACAATATAATCTACTCTTTCTCTCTTTCGCACTACTCTTTTGGACTACTCTATCTTGGTATTTTAATCTGTACACGTTAACAAATTCTACCTCTACTCCAGATGCATGTTGTAAGAGCCGACAAATGGACTAAATATTCTATAATATATGGAACAGAGATCGGGCAGCGGCTCACTCTGATAAACCTGAATCTTTTAAACGCTTTCAACTCTTTTCCTCTTATGCATAAGAGACCCATAGTTCCCGGTCTGCACTGGACTTTCATGGACTGTTGATGGTTATTAGCTTTTATGTATGTTTCTATTTTACATAAACTTTTTTCTTTCTTTATACCTATTTCAGTCCCCATATCATACTCTCATTGAGACACTCAGCAAATCCATCTAAGATATTTCATCACATACACGGCTCTATGAATAGGTTGAACAGCCCAAGGGATGCTATACAGCATTGCCTGACAAATTAGTTAATACCAAACAAAACCTGCTATGGGCTCTCAAGTCTATAGAAATCTAAGTAATCGGTTGTTCTCCTAATAGGTATATACTGACCGAGTTGACCACGGTCATCAATCCTCACCACTCATTATCTAGAAATATTTTTAGGTCAACGAAGCACAGAAAACCTTATCTTTTTGCTGTAACTTACGACTTTACAATGCGCCTTTAACAAAAAAAAACTTGTACCGCGTTCTTTTCGGACTCGTCCCATATGTTTTCAAAGTCATCCATCACTCTTTAAATCAATAACTAATAACAAACTGACTATACTACATTCGATAGACTGATACCGAGATAGTATTTGCACTCCTGCCATCCTTCGCCTTTGTAATGTCATCATTTCTTTGTTCCAATCAGTTGGGACAAACTACAAAAAAAACTTCCATCATACTTGCAAAAGTGTTAAAATAAAAAACAAAATCAAAATAAAAGTAACATGTTCTATTGAAGCTTTGTTTCCTAAATTACAAAATTATTTCGCAATTTCCTACATAAAAATATAATGTTCCGACTACTGACTTGTCAGTCCTGTGGGTGCATTGTATTATATGGACATAGGTATCTTATCCGAAATTAAAGCTATCTCTAATGTAGGTCAAAAAGTAGGTCAGATAAATAAATTGCAAAAATACGTTTCGAACATACTAAGCAAAATGTCGGGCTACGAGCCGTTCTTCTATTTCTATTCATTTGAACTGAAGAAAACCCAGTATACGTAGCTTAGAAACGTTAACTCAATAAAATAGATACCCCGTTGTGCAATATATTAATATCTCACTCGATATCGATTGAATGGAAACCAGATAGAGAACGATGTCGGTAAATAGGTAGGTATCAAGAATAAGAAATAAACGGATAATTTAATTATTATAGGTACCTATCATAATTTGTAATGATGCGTCATAAATCTGCATGTTTAATGCGACACTAATATATTTGCACCAAAAAATCCTGCCATTGGCGTGGAGGACGAGCAACAAAATGTAACGGTTTAAATTATTAAAATATAAAATAAAAACAAAAAATATCTATAGAAGTGTTTGTCTACGTCCTTACTGAACCGTACTTATGTCCTCGAACGACCTAGGTATGAGGTGGAAAGCGATTGTTGAACAGGATCAGACAACACAATAGCAGGCGACGGTATGTAGCGGGCCGAGGAATTTGCAGTACTTGCTATAAATAACATTGAAGTAGAACAATGAGGATATAATCACGGCACTGTGACGGCACTTTCACGAATAACAGTGGTGCAGTACAGCAGTACGTCGGATGTGTGTACATGGCGACACGGGAGGGGCGAGGGTGGCGGGTCGCGGGGTACGTGGCACACCTCATGATCTCGTGCTCGCGCTGTTCCTCCTGGCGCTGTCGCATCATGACGCCTTCGATGATGGCGCGCTCCTCAGGAGTAAGATGCGAGAGGTCTGGCATGTCGGCCATGGCGGGCGGCGGCGAGCCGCGAGCGGTGCGCGGGCCCGCCGCGTGCTGCGGTGCTGTGCCCGCGGCGCGACACTCCACTCGGAGGTTTATTTAATAATGCCGGGCGGGCCAATGGCGCGTCGCCGTGCTCTGACGTCAGCGCGGCTATTGATCGCGCGACAGGGCGCGCCACGAGCACACAGCGCCGCCGCGGGTACCCCGCGACCCGACACCGACGTATATGCGTGCGCATATCAACTATGCAACGATCTAGCTACACATTTGTATTCACCAGCTGCTTACATCAAATTATTAACTTTGGGATTCAAATGTTTCGAGACATTATTCAGTCCCAGTCCCGAGAGATCCCAGGTACTCTTTTTCTAGTATACATTTACGAAAAGGAGTAAATTCATATATCAACACTTTCGCCACTTTGTACTGAACTTAATATCGTTTTTATAGTTTTTATGTGTATAAAATGGAATGATACACATAGTTTATTAATTGTATTTATAATAGATACTGTAAGTACATTAATTATTACTGACAAAATTGAAAACTGTAGGTACAAACAATTAAACACATCCAACAACAAAATAGTCTATTGTGCTACGTCGTAGCAGATCCGTAGGCGCCTCGTCTGCACTATCATCATATTATCATACTGCTGTTACCTCAGTTTAAATCGTTCTTCTCCTTTGCTATACTTTCACAGCGGCACTGATACACTGTATCAGTGCGCGTCTCAGATATTTAATTTAAAGCTCATGGTTGCTACGGTGTATCCGGCTCGTAGCAATTGGGCGCTACGGCTACGTTGCGTAGGCAGCCCACTACGTGCTACGTAGTCCGTTTTCGAAATAAAACATGTTGAGTTTTTTACAAATTAGATAAATATTGTAAGTTTTCTGTTTGTATGTTGACCATCATTATCGTTGTTAGTAACAAAATCATCTCACATGGGGAGGTATACTCCAAAACGAATAGGCCGCGAATCAACCGAAGTGATGTCAGGGCCTTACAGAAAACTGGCCTAAAACAGAGTTTGCGTTGTGTTTCTCCGTGTGAGGTTAACGGTATAACAATCCCCCCCCCCCTTAAAGACCAGCAACCCGTCTGGTGTTGGGGATAAATATAATATAGAGGTTTCTCTTCTTTTAGAATCATTATTACATCTCGAAGTAAGTAGTGTACAAGACATTTTTGATGTAGTACATGTCTGCAGAAAACGTAATGTAGTGTGTCCAACGTAGTACAACTTTTCCTCATGCGACAACAGTTGCACCCCCATCACTTATGGTTGGCAGTACATTTTGGCATTTGTGGCACAACATTTTTTAAATATAGCGGCACACTATTTTCTCCTGTGACTTGGGTACGTTTGCAGACATACGCATAACACCCAGACCCGAAACAAAAATTTGTGGATGACATAAAGAGTTGCTCCGTACGTGAATTGCAACTGCTGATTCGAAATCGAATTGCACAGCTGCCGTGCAGTCAAAATTCACTTATTGTGAAACTTCTCGTTTTGCACAGTAAAACTGTGGAATGAAGTATCGCCTGAGGTATTTCCGAACCAATACGACTTACAAACTTTGAACGTACTCCTTTTTAAAAGAGCGCCAACGCACTTGTGACTCATATAGTGTTGCGATATCCGTGGGCGGCGCTGATCGCTTACCATCAAGTGGTCCTCATTTTTCGTTTAAAAAAGTATGTAAACCATAAGGTTTTTAGATTTTTGCCTATTCTTCTTATTTTGCAAGCGGTATTTTAAACAAAAATATACGCGACGCAGTAGGTATCTAAAAGTGATTTTATTGACTAATTTTGAAATTGCAATATAGGCACTGCCTGCTCCTAGCTTTGCAAAATGTATTTCAATTTGATTAATTAAGACAGATGGACAATTAATGAATAAACTGAAACTTGGGATTTAAATTATACTTAACAAAATGATAAAGTCTTAAATATAGTACAATGAAGTGCTGAACTTGGTTGCCAAGTAATTAATTAAAAAAAAAACATTGCCCCTCACTAGGATTTTCTCCTGTGTCGTGGGTGCGTTTACAAACATACAAGTTCACATACACATGACACCCAGACCCGAAACAACAATTTGTGGATCACACAATGTGTTGTACCGTGCGGGAATCGAACCCGCGACACGTTGCACGGCAGCCGGTGCAGGTGCCCAGCCACCGCACCAACCGTGCAGCCAAATTATTTATTAGGTATAACCATTACATACATTTTTCCTCCTAACAATTTCCTTAACATCGTTTCATAAATATAAATTTATAAATATATTTATTTGATAATAATATTAATTAATTTACAATTTGTTAATCAGGGAAACTTATTTTCCTGGAATCTGGTTCTAATAAAAGTATTGAATTTGGTATTTCATAAATCATTTTGATTTATTTAGTGTTTCCTTGTTGCTCTGCTGTGATTAGTGCTTGGGTAAGAAGTTAAATATTCTATACGTGTTGTACATGTAATTACTTATTGTTTACAGCATACGAACTAGTTTCATTTGGTGACTTCCATCAAAATATAGTAGGTACTAAGGGTATGTACTTACATAACATCATCATCATAACATCACGCCTTTTATCCCCGAAGGGGTAGGCAGAGGTGCACATTATGCCACCGTACAATGCAGGGTTGTTGCTGATGCAGGATTTTGTCACATCAGCGGATGCTGATGCTGATGCTGATTTATTGTAATTTAGATCAGCTGATGCTGATGCTGATGCTGATTTTAAGTTTTTTTTATACCTACTCAATTTTATACATTTTTAGGTAGGTAAATATTATATTTTCATCTATCTACTTGTAATAAAAGATAAATTTTAATAATTCTATAACTTTTTAATGAAGTAAATTCTATAACTATTCTATAAGTAATTCCTATAACTTTTTAAAGAATCAACAAATACGTAAAAACTTGTTAAGTAATAAATTATTATTAATACTGGAATTCTATTAACGGCAAGTTGTATTTCAAAAACAACAACTGAGCTGCTTTTTCAGCTTGCAGTCTGTTGCGGGTAGGTTTGTATATAATGCCGGCACTGCTGAATAACTGTTCGCTGGGGACGCTTGCAGGCGGAGGTGACAGGATAGTACTGCACTTTGCTTGCAATGCTTGCAATATTAATTGACGATTTGTTATGAAATATATGTATTTTGACTGGCCAAAATTCGGAAGCGACTGCGGCAAGTGCCATTACCTCCGCCCATTGCCGGTCAACGAACTTTGAACATCAGCATCTAACATCAGCAACAATTAATGCGGATGCTGATGCTGATGCTGATGTGGACAATAATGCTGATATTCCGCTGATGCTGATGCTGATGCTGATATTTGCAACAACCCTGGTACAATGTAACACCCACTTTTCACTATTTATGTTATGAGTCCCATGTAATAGGGGGTGAGCCTATTGCCATATACCGGGCACAATTCCAGACTCCGTGCTACTACTGAGATTTTTTTTTTAGAAAACCCCAGTAATACTTTGCCCGACCCAGGAATCGAACCCGAGACCCCTTACCCGGCAGTCGCACTTGCGACCACTCGACCAACGAGGGTATGTATTTTTTGTATGTCATATTTTATTAATCGTGTTGGCTACGCCGTAATCGCTACGTATTCCGTAGCAGGACGTTGCTGTAACGTAGCCAGCCAATGACTTGTAGTCGTGTTGTTGTATTCATCATCCCCATAACCTGTCATTGTATTATTATTACAATTGTTTTTATAATGAAATTTTAGTAATTTTTTGTATTGCACCTAAAAACCGTTTGAATACTTTCGAGACGCCAAGCGCATAGTGCGGTAGGTCGCACACATGATTACGCTGCTCCTGCTAGAACGGTTCTTTCAATAAGAAGCCTGTCTTTGTGGACGTAACCTACAACTTAGTGCAGCAGACTTGCCTGTGCCGTTGTAAGTAGATGATATCTATCGTAAATGTTTTGGTTTGTTTTCCCGGTGGGCTACAATATGGGGTTCTACAAGAAAGTAGTAAATAGGTTTATTAAGGGTCGGCAAGGTGCATGTAATGCCCCATGTGTTGCAAGCGTCCATAGGACACGGTAACTACTTACCATCAGGTGGGCCGTGCGCTTGTTTTTGCCACAGTCTTGGTATAAAAATGTAGGCTTCATATTCAAAAAAACTATCGAATGTAGTGATTACAATCTACAGAAATAAATACGAATTTACAGATATGAAATTGGCATTTTATTCATTATTTAACTGTAGGCAGCATGCTACCTTGAGTAAAAATATTTCAAAAATAATTTTCAAATACCTAAAAAAAAAACTAATCACAATCTAGAGGCGGAGGTTCACATTCTCCTGGTAAATGGTTAGTATTAGGGTTGTGGAATAAAGATTTTATACCTCTTCTTCCCCATGGGAACCTCTTTGTACGTCGTCTCATGTATTCATAGTCACGGCAATCTCCTTTTGGTGGTGTTTCGTGTCCAAGTGCGTGAAAAGCTTGAATTATCATTAGAGGGACTCCAATTAAAAAAAACAAAGTTCTATATTTCCTCCACGTGCCCTTCACAGGAAATTTAGGTACACATGGATTTGGTGGCACGGGTCCTGGACGACAGTCTGTTGGTGGCACAATGCGCCTGCCAAAGCCAGGAATCTGCGGAGGACATCCGCACCGCGGTGGTTGTGGAGGGCAACAGGATGCGTATTGCCTAAACCCGCTGTACACAATATTATTGAAACTTCTAATTTTGTGTCCACACATTGTATTTTACTTACAGCTAATTTTTTATTTATCAAGTATTATAATTTTTATTTTCTTACATTTTAAAATACAAAAATTTTTTTTATTCAGCTGAAAGCTGTACCGATTTTTGAAATAATGACATCCTTACATATTTTTTTTTAATTAGTGTAGTTACTGTACATTATGACTCTATGATTGTTCAGCGGAGGTTAAGTAAGTATAAGTTAACCTATCAATAATATATTTTGAATTTGAGTAATTGGATCTTGGATTGGAATCATTAATGAATGTGGTCGCCATTGTCAGTTATTTCCTCTTAGTATATAACCAACTAACTGGTAAATTGCTGATGAAATATAATAATATGTATTCAACATTATCACTACATAGTATAAAACAAAGTCGCTTTCTCTGTCCCTATGTCCCTTGTATGCTTAAATTTCGCGACGGATTTTGATTGGTTTTTTTTAATAGATAGAGTGGTTCTTAAGGAAGGTTTATATGTAGGTAGGTATGCATAATATAGTAGAGAAACACTGATAAATTTAGGGGTTTCTGATGTGATGTCGTAAATCAGCACGTAAACCAGCGAGTCAGACGGTGGCATTACATATCTATCTAGGTGAGGTGCAAACCTCATCATCAAACCTCAATGTGCTGATATCAGCTGAAATCAGCTAGACAGCATATTTAACATGCTTTCAATCGCCTCTTACGTTGCACATTGAGGTTTGATGATGAGGTTTGCACCTCACCGAGATAGGTATGTAATGCCACAGCCTTTCTTTACTAGGTATAACAATATTGAATTTGACAAAACGGGTGAAGGAATTTGGAACAGGAGTACCGAGATTATGGTCTGGAAAAACACGTAGGCTGCTTTATATCCCACAGAAACGCAGGCGAAATCGCTAGCAGAAGCTAGTAGTACCTACATAAATCTGACGCATTTGTGCTCCACTTGGGTAGAAAGTCCTGAAAACCTTTTAACATTTCGTGCGACCAGCGTCTTCTTTTTTACATTTCGTGCACATGAGTACCTACTACCGACGCTTTCTATAATCATTATTAACCCAAAACAGTTGCAGCTATATCTTTTATTTTAGCACTTTTGGAAGCTAAAAAATGACGTTTCCATAGAAATTGTCGCGACTAGCGACTCAGGAGCCCATTACTTTTTTCAAGTTATCGACTAATAACTAGTCTTGCACAGGTTCCTAAATGCATTGTTTGTAGAGTAATATTGTAGAGATATCCAACACAAAAATAATTATACCATTCGAAACAGTCGTTCCGGAGATTAGCGCATCCAAACAACCTCTTCAGCTTTAAAGTAATGGTCAAATAGAAGAGGAAATTGCTAATAAAAATCTATCGCCTGCGCTGGTTAACATACTAAGAGATTCGGTTGAATACTTAACGTACCTACATAAACGAGATATCTTTTTAGGACGTTTAAATTCTGTGTTGATTTGACATTTGCACGACGCGACGTTTAGTTTAACATTTTAAAACTTAGTTTCAAACTTCAAAGTGACTTTGACATTACTTTGTAAATATTTATGTTTCAGTTGGGTCATGCATTGTCTGTTTTTTAATAAAATAGAATCCTATAGCTATCAAATCAAAAATCTCAGTAGTGTATTGCCAAAATATATTTCGTAGGAAAATAAACTGTTTTACAGGTCTGCTTATGTGTGGAACTATATATAATAAACTTGTATAATGTATTATTTTCTTCACAACTTACCAACTTTTAGAATGTGTTTATAAAGATAAGATTAAATCATACGATTAGGTAAATTGGTGTACATTTATCTATCAAAATTATTTGTGTAATGTAAAAATTATGTTACATTTGAGATATTGTCAATATTCGTGGTAATCGATGTGGAATCTAACTACTTTAATACGTGAGTGCATTTTTCTATCATTAATTTTTTGTTGTGAATTCGTTGCGAGGTTAATTTTAAACAGCCTTGAATCCCCACCATTGATTGTGATTCATACGACGATGTTGAGGTCTGCCGAGGCGGGCTGACGGCGCCGCGCCGGCAATGATGTCATAAACATTCGGCTAGTGTACGTGTGTGGTCGTCATCAGTAGGAGCTCCTAATTTTAAAGAATTATTTCGATTGTTCTAGTTACATTTCTTTTGGTGTTAGAAGCTAGTAATACCAGTGAACAAAAAATGGATTCAAAGGCCCTTTCATCTGCCATTGCCCAATTTTCAGCCAAATTTTGTGTTGTAAGTACCCATCTATTTACATTATACCTTAATCATTAAATTTATATTGATTGCTCAAAAAGTAACAATACCAACTGTACTTTAACTACTAAAAACTACAGACCTTCAATTAAAATATAAAATCAGTAAACTTGTGCTTCATGTTTTTGGACTCTCTAGGCATTTTGCAGACCTACCTACTATGTTTACAAAAGACAAGTAGTATCATAGAATCTTACTATTGTTACAAAACCAATATTTTTTTTTACTTATTTTAAAGACTTAGTAAAGGACCTATAATAATGTTTATTTATATTTAAGTAGGTATTTTTTATGTTGCTTTGCTTTTATAAGTTTTAATTCTCTATGTCTTCACTTTTGAATATAATAAAAAATATGTACATGTATTCCTATTTTCCTCATTTAACTCGTCGAGTACCGGTTTTGTAGACACAATTATAGAACAATAGGTTGCGGTCACCGGTGACCGCTTGGTGTTTGACAGTTTAAACTAACTTCATAATTATGTAACTAAATGCTTAGAATGCAATCAATCAAAATCACTTAATATCTATTTAATCAATTTCTCATTAAGTGCTCACATGATAAGTTGTGATAAACCTGATATTGATGAGTTCTTAGTTGCAAGAAATGTCATTGTATTAATAAGTATCAGTAGTAAATAATGTAGAAAACGGTATTCTATTAAATAAGTTGCCACTAAACTAATAAGAATATAATTATTAGTTTATTCTGAGTCTAATTTAATTTAAAATCAAATTAAGAACATTGATAACTAATAGCATAATGTTGTCTTAATTAGATTTCCTATTTTATGATATAACTACATGCCTATACACATAGCTTTGTCCCAACTACAGAGATCATCCCAGTATAATTGTTGCATACTTTTTGAATGTTCATCATATACATTGTCATAAAACTAAACAGATTAAGACACCTTTGCACAGGTCATTGAAGTAATTTTACTTTGTTTTATAAACAGTACTTGTTATACATAAGTTAAATAGAAAATAATATATTAACTTTCCATAATCTCCGCCAACCCCTTGGCAGATAGGCGTGAGGCTGTGTATGTATGTTGAAATGTCAGCAAACTAAGTACGCGGGTTTAAGGACATGTTAAAGAAATACAATGAATATATTTTTAAGACACTATGTACTAAGTATTTAGTGGTCAACACCCAAAGGTCATCGGTAACCACACTCCACACGCATTATAGACCTTATTACCGAGATTTAGAGACTACTTTTGTATGAAGTGTAGTCAAGTAATTAATATAATTTTTTTTTCAACAGGAATTGGAGAAGGGCAAGAGTGTGGTATCATCACCACTTTCAGCGGAGTTTGTGTTAGCTCTGCTGACCCTTGGTACCTCAGACCCAGCACATGCTGAGCTTCTGACTGCCCTCGGAATCCCTGATGATGATTCTGTAAGTATTATCATATTTAAGTAAATATACTAAGGACTAAAAAATACTAAAACCATGTTTATGTTCGACAAAGCCAGAAAATATTTATGTCAGGTAAATATTTAGACTACATATTTGTTCTAGTCGTATATTTATATACCAGGTTAAAAACTATTTCGGAATGTGCACAAGGCCAAATAATAAGTCATAAATTATGAATGATAATGTGAATATTACCTCCTGATAATTGTCAAACACTCACTTTTGAAATGATTCACCACATGTTTTCTATGTAGGTGCCTGTTTCTAATGAAATAATATCATGATCAGGAACAGTCATCGGTCAACAGTCATGATTGTGAAAATCGTTTATGCTCGATGATTCATCTGTCTATTGATGTAGAAGTTTGTGAGATTTCTCAATACATTTAGATTTTATCATCAATTACTTGGTAATTGTGTATGATAAAATTTTAATGTAAAATTCCGAATATGTAGACAGGATAAAGAAGATAGGTAATTACTAATTAATTATTGTATAAAATTACCTCATCATTGGCTGTGCAGATTTAAAAAAAATCTCAGTTGGTGCATGAAGTCTGGAATTTTGCTCGGTATATATGTATATGGCAATAGGCTCACCCCTATTACATGGGACTCATAAAATAAATAGTGAAAAGTGGGTGTTACTGTTACATTGTACAATGACATTAAGTGCCGTAATGTGCACCTCTGCCTCTTCGGGGACAAAAGGTGTGATGTCATATAATTCTGCTGTATCTGTGTATGTCATTGAACTCCTCCTAAACTAAACGGGTTGACGGATTTAAGTGATTTTTTCTGTATGCGGATGGCGGATGGCGGCAGATGGCGCTGCAGTCGGTATCTAGGTTATTTATTTATACCTATGATTATATTAGGTATATGCACGACAACGTCTGTCGGGTCCGCTAGTTATAGTAGAGGTATAAAAAATGCAATAGAATAATTTGGTATATTCCAGATCCGTTCATCATTCTCTGAGGTGTCATCCAGGTTGAAGTCATTGAAGGGAGTTACATTTAATGTGGCAAACAAAGTGTACCTCAAGGATGGTCCCTATGACCTTTCACCTTCTCTGAAGGTGGACGCCGACAAAGTCTTCAATGCGGGCATTGAAAAAATTGACTTCAATTCCGCAGCAGCCGCTGTTGAAGTTATTAACAAATGGGTAAGAAGATTTACATCATACATAGGATTGAAGTAGTTTTTGAAGTTTTTTTTGGATAATTAATATAGCGCTAACTTAATTTCAGGTTGAAAGTCAAACCAATGAAAAAATTAAAGATCTGCTCTCGTCGGACAGTGTGGATGGTGATACTCGGCTGGTACTCATTAATGCTCTCTATTTCAAAGTAAGTATATTTACATTTTTTTTTTGTATGTCGGTTTGCATTTTGTACACAGATATACGAAATCGTAGCCTAATGTAAAACTGCTGCAGTGGGAACCAGAATAATAATAAAAAGCCTTAATGTTATTAGTTTTAGTGGGCCATATTTGATATGTTGTAAATAATTTCTAGGGAACATGGAAGAAGCAGTTTGACCCACAGAACACAATGAACCAACCGTTCCATATTACCGCCAGTTCTTCAGTGGAAGTCCCCATGATGTACAGAGAGGACGACTATTTGTATGGAGAGAGCAGCGAGCTTCAGGCTCAGGTACAAATGCATTGATTTAATCAACCACTGTTCACTAAATTTACCACGGATCTATTTAACTGCCCAGTCCCCAATATTCAATTTCATACCTTATTTGCGTTGTTTAGAGACTACTTTTGTATTAACAAATAAATGTTATGAATTTTTCATAATCGTAGATTAAGAAGTTAAAGCAACACTAACTTTATACTTGATTTAGATTACGATCATGTTTCATCAGAAAAAATAACTAGAAACTCATTGCAGACAAGAATCGAAAACTACATGTATGTTATCGTTAAAATAACATCCCAATATCATTTAATTCAATATGATTCCCATCCATTGTGCCAATAAAAGTAAAATAGCATTGATAATCATTATTGGCGAGTATAAACAGTTACAATGGATTCCCCCATTCGCATTCCAGACTCATTTTGTAAACAAGACCTATTTTTACCGATTCCAACTTCGTAACCGATAAATTCATATTCTCGAATACCTATATTCAATGAATCCGTATTTAGATATTGAGTGTAGCTGGGTTTTTCCACTACACTGTCTGGAACATTTTCCTCATGTATGTATTTCAATACAGTACCTGTTTATAACATGTATACATATATGTAATATTCTGTTATACGATTATGGGCTATTTACAATAATAGCCCCCTATTATTGTTAATAGCCCATTGAATTATTTGTTTTACATGATCGCAAATTTAAATTGAAAAGTAATAACATGATAACATTCTAGATTTTATTACAAAATACACTCTGAACGTGTTTTGTCGTAGATATCAGCAGATACTTGAGGAAAATGGTCTTTTTAGCAGAAGTATTTGGACTTATCTCAATTAATGCCTGGAATTGATAAAAAGTCTCAATTATTCGTAAATGTAATTACAGTATCTGTTATCTAAGTGCGGAATGTATTATATTACAGCTGTTAGAGATGCCTTACGTAGGGGAAGAAGCATCCATGTTGATTGTGCTTCCAAATGAAATCGAAGGTCTCGACGGCGTACTCTCCAAGCTGGCGTCTGGCTTCGACCTACTGTCCGAGATTGGCAAAATGTACAAAACTAAAGTACAAGTCACTATCCCCAAGTTTAAGATTGAGACCGAGATTAACTTAGCTGAGGTGCTGCCGAAGGTTTGTATTTTATTCTATTTAATGTTTATTTTGTCGCATCACTAAAAACACGGCTACAAGGCAGAACTGATTTCGGAGCCGCGGAGGACTTAACGGGTTGCCGGGGCTCCGGCTCGAAGGGCAAGAGTAGGAACGGGGTGGTTTTTAGGCAGTAAGAGTCTGACACTCCCACCCGCCTCACCCAGGCGGGAGAGGTCATTCGATGATTTTCCCCCCTTAACTCGTCGAGCACCGTCAATATAGACACAATTAAAGAACAATAGGTTGCGGTCACCGGTGACCGCTTGGTGTTTGACAGTTTAAAAAAAGGCAAAACTGATGGTATTTCTTGTTTTATTTCTATCTAGAAATACTAAATTATAGCTTATTAACAGTATTAGTAAGTTGCAATCTCTTATATTGTCTCCAAAATATATTGCAGCATTAAGTTATAAGACACCGAAGTCGAGGAAAATACCAATTTTATAATACATCTGATTCTGCTGATTTCGTGACAGATATTACTTGGAATTTACTTACATTTATACGACAGCAGCTTATCTCGGATTAATGAAGGTTACGTTCATTGTCATCAGTCTATCTTGGCTGTCATTATTTTAATTGTGTCCTTTGAAATGGACGCAGAGATCATCCTTAGATCGTTGCCTTTATAAATAAAAAACAATTTTTCATGGTCCCACAGACGATATTAAACTCATGAGACACTTTGATTGTAACCACGACATTCCATTTTTTACTAGTAGCCAAATAGGGTGACCTTCAACTGTGCTTCAGTTCAGTGCGTATAGCGTTGGCTTATGACCTTGAGATTAAGTGCTATTGTTTGTTGTAGCTTGGAATACAATCGATTTTCAACCGTCAAAATTCAGGACTGACAAAGGTTTTGAATGTGGATGAACCTCTGTTCGTGTCGAAGGCGGTGCAGAAAGCCTTCATTGAGGTGAACGAGGAGGGAGCTGAGGCCGCGGCGGCTACCGGTAAGCGTGATAACAATTCTTAGTACTGCTAGCTTTTAGCGCATGTTAACACATACGCAGACCCGAATGTAGGGGAAACTTAACCGAGACTGTACTACCTCGGTCGGTACATTTGGATGGCAGCAAATTCATGCATGGAAAACGAAATTTCATTACTCAGTATTATTACAATGTTTTGATGACTGAGGAGCGGAGGATAGCAATATAATTATTCAATGAATACCATTTATTATATCAGACACAAAGTATCCACAACCATATACTTTGTTCTGTCTCAAAGTAATCTGGATCCGAGTGTCCGGGACTGTAAAACGACAAAACATCTAAATTCTAAACTCATTGTTTACATTAACACCTCGTAGACTGTACTATAGTGGGTACGATTAGTTGACACATTTCTCTAACATTGTTATCCATTCGTTTATCGGTTACTAACTTGGAATGTTCATTGGATGAGCTGAGTTGTTCAGTGATATGATTACAAACGATAACAGACTCCTCGATAAATATGTAGGCGAGCCACAGATATTTCTGTACTTAGTTGCCGGTCACTAACACGTGTCTGAGACGTCATTGCGTACTTTTATTGGATTTATTTTTCTTCTTCTGAACAATTCTGTGATGCTCTTACTCACTCTTTTCTCAAGAGCAAGTTGCTCAACTTTAAGAAGCTGATTTTCTCGATACATTTTCTAAAAGGATGATCTAACCAATATTTACACTAATATTTACTTACTCGTGATCGGACTCTAACGTTTTAATAAATTCGTTTTCATATTCATATTTTGGCCTTAATGATTTCATTTAGGTGTTAAGGGTATTTTTGGGTTTGTATTATATGTAATACGTAGGTACCTAACCCCTATTTACGGGATCCTACCATTGACTAGCAATGTATGTGCAAGTTGTGTTATGACATTGTGTTGGGTGTGGTCGGTATGGCTTGGTGGTGTGGAGCGTGTCGCGGTGTGCTTGATGTGTGCGTGTGCCGCGCAGCGATGGCGACGCGGCGCGCGCGGTCGCTGGCGCCGGTGTTCGCGGCGGACCGCGCGGCGCTGTGGCTGGTGCGCGCGGCGGGCCACGCGGCCGTGCTGGCCAGCTACCGGCCCGCGGCGCCGCGCGATGAACTATAGTGCTGTGTGTGGCGCAGGCATGGTGATAATGCTGCGCTGCGCTCGCCCGCCGTCGCCCCGCTTCCGCGCTGACCGGCCTTTCCTCTACCTGTTGTTTGGCGCTGACCGCGCCCTGCTCTTCATTGGGGCCTATCGCGGCAGAGACTAAACAGACCTAGCGAGCGACGACCCCACTATGCCACGGGCACCACGTCTATTGTTAACGATGTCACTGTGACAATATGCTATGAACTCACGGTGTTAATAAATTAAACGCACATTTTACTATTTGCAAACTTTCTTAACTATTAAAGTATCGCATTGCGCACAAAAGCCGTTATAAAGTAATATTATCATGATTAACCCAGCGGTCGAAAGTTCGGAACGACTTAACGACTCAGTTTAAGAACAATGATAAATAATATAATTAATTTAATCACACCTTATAACCAATATAATCACCTCAACTGCAACAACATTATTATATGAATGAAATTAAATATATTTCTCGAATAATAGCGTAACTGACGTTTATTAACACCGCAATTAAAAATGTTAACAAAATTATTTTAAATCTGTTGTATGCTATTACTATGTATTGGTTATACATATATTCGTTAATTAAATGATTTAATTTTATAACCAGCTGGCAGTTTTTTTATTTTTTATTTATCAGATCAATGAAACTATGTTATTAACATGTTAACGTCAACAAGTATCGTTTTATAGAAAAACACATAAACAATTTCGCACCACTAGAGGCGCTGGTATCGCGTTAGGTTTTCTGACCACTCGTTAATGACAAAACCAAAAAAACGAACCCGTCCTGTGGCCTCATGAACACAACGAGGCATGCATTAAAAACTTCGTAGTTTATACAAAAGCGTTGTTTATTTGACTATACAATAAATCTAAAATAAGCAAGAAACTGCCGTTCGAAACTCGGATACTCTCAGTTTTTTATTTATTATAAGTTCAAGTTAGTATTTTGCTTAGTTCAGATAATCAAGGAAGAAAGACGTTTCTGCACTTATTGCCTGCCTCTATTGCAGCGAGGGAGTTCCTGCGTTATTCTGCCTAAATTGCCTAGACATCTACCTTGTCTCGTCGCTTCCTAACAGATTGACAATACGTCGTTACAATTCTCTTGAAAGGTGTAATCACGTTGTACCATATTTAAATTATTATTGTCTTACATTCCTTTGCATCAATGCTTTAATTATGGAACCTTATCAATTATCGCTGTTTATTTCGTTTTGTTAAGATCCATTCTTCTGATGTTCTCGTATTCGTTTGTAGTTTTAGCCTTAGGTTTTTAGCCTTTAGGTACTGAACAGCACCGGTGTGTATAGGAATTATTAAATATCTTTAAATATTTTCTTGTTTCATAATGATCATTATGGACCTAATAAATTGATATGTCTAGATAAGTTATTATGTACCTTATTGACTACTAAGGAATCTTTCTCTGGTTAGAGTTGTAGTAATTCGTTCTGTATTATAATCTCTTTTTAAGAATGCATGCCTATTAATGACACGTTTACGTAAATAAAAAATTAAATGTTTACAAACCTAACACATACCTTAATGATGTTCAATGATATCTCCATGACCAATAGTGGTCACCTATAAATGGTCAGAGGCACATTGGATATCAATCTCAAGTTGAGAGTCTTCCTACAACTGACAGATGAGGGATCTTGTAATACTATTCCAGCAATGTCCTTCATCAATGAATTGAATAAGCCAGTAAAGCTTACTTTACATTGTGTCTGATAACAAACATACATCGTCACAAACTTTCACATTTATGAAAAGATATTAGTAGGAAGTAAGTAATAGGATTGATAAATAGATAATTGTATGTAACTACATAAAATAGTACATATATTATACCATGAGTTACTTTTTCATTCATTACCAACACAGTTCTAGTCCGGCCATAACTATCGCTAAAACCGATGTCACCAGTTTCTGTTACTATAAATATTTTTATGCTTTGTATATGCTTAGATATGCTTTGTTTTATTTTGGGGCAATGCCGGGTCTTTCTACAACTGGCACAGAAGGGATCTTGTATCTTGTAAATTAATATTATTCCAGCAATGGTTGTCGCGATGGTTACATCAGTAATGAGCAGTGGCGTGCACACCATACATGCAAATAAGCACTGCATACCCTACAAAATCATGGTAAACCTACATAGTCAAATACATAGTGTCACTCATAAACACGACATGAATATTTACTGACATCATACAGAGATTTCGTAATTTTATTGATACTTAATTTGAAAAACTGGTCACTAACGCCATCTATCGAAAAAATATTGAAGTACTACAACCACTTTCTACTTTCTTTGATATATTGAAGCATTGCGCCAGTGGCGCCGCCACCTCGCTATTGTGTGATGGTGGCGGAAGCATGTACTAATGCGTAGCCGGTACAATTTGCTTGTTTTCTCGTGCTGATGTTGGATTTTTTTTTTGTTAGGTTGGTAATTTCTATACAACTGCAAAAGCACTGCTTCTTCGTTATCCGACTAATTTAAGAAGTCAACAAAATGTAGCGTTTGTTAATTGAAAATAGATATATTAATTTTGGTCAACTTATTGTTTACGTTTTTTTTGGCCATTTTGTTTTGGTTATGTTTTTATGTGCAAGTGAATAAATTGTAATGTAATGAATTATAATTTAAATGAACTGTTAATTTACCGAAAATTATGTAAAATTATAGCTGTGAGCTCTGTGCTGGTGATTTGTGTTGTTCAATAAATTCAATATGAGTGCGTTGTCCTTATTGTCGTTCGAAGAAGAAACGAAAATATTTCCAAAGGCGATTTTGCGTGTGTCGTATGTCCGGGCTAGGCGTAACTCAAAAAAGGTAATAATTTTATTATTTCTTTTAATAAACTACGATTAGCGATTATAGATACCTATAGTTTGTTTTGTTAGCACTGGTTGTGTACCAATTTCATTAATGTTTTTAAAATCCAGTCATCTTGATCTCGCTTTGTACGATTTTTCTATGCATTTAACGGTCAGTTTATACTGGTGTCGCATAGCTTGATGTGTAACCATTTGTACTTCGCCGCTCCAAAGTAGGTACCTAGTTAATAGATTTGTAAAATAGATACCTATAGGTATCTACTTATGTTGATCAACTTTATACACGGATAGTTTGAAAATAATTATGTACCTAATTTGTTTATACAAATTAATAAAATACTTACTAAACCTAATTACCGACTCAAAATTATGATGTTTCGGGAGTTTTATTTTCCGAGATTAATGTAGACCAAATTTTTTTTAATCATGTGATACCTTCTGCCTACCCTACTTCAAATCTCTGTGCACGCCCCTGGTAATGAGCAGGCCACGCATCCGTCGGTTCATCGCAAACCGGCCTTTCCTGGTGTCTATTATAATTGGAAACACTCCTCACTTCCTGGCGTCGTACTACGGCAGCAAATAGACATTATTAAGTCGCACAGATCTACTAATATTTTGTTTGTATTAACTAGGGTTGTTGAAATGACGACACGGTGTATAACAGAACAATAATAATTAGAGTAAAATAAAATAATAATGTAAGACGTCTAGATTATTTTATGCTAGTGGCGGAATGGTCACACGTATGTGTGCCTCCCGGCTGGCACTGCACGCCCTATACTTCCTTTTACACTATAATATCTTAATAATTTAATCAAAATCTATTTCAACATTTTACCTAATCAATATGATTGGTATTTTAATATAATACCGTGGACGTTATTTAGTAAAAGAATTATAAGGCTTAATTTATTTAACAATTCATCATATTTACAACTTGGTAAATAATACATAGAAGAAAATGGAGGCGCCACTATGCCGTTCGCAAGTGTCAACTCTGGCCCTACAACGCTTCAACCTAATCATGATAACAACTTAACTGTTTCTTTTATTTTATTAATTAGTCTATGGGACTATACATATTTTCTTTTACATTTGTAATACATAATGGTCGTCTGCCTATCCCTTCAGAATATTAGTAGTTTTTCTGTTATGCGTGAACATACAACAAAATTATGTAACCCATTGGATAACAAAAAGTCAAATTTTTGTATTCAACTACAGCAACTGAACAATAACCAATAACTACAAACTGAAACGCCATTATGGACAAGAATTGTAGTTAGAAAAAACTAAACTTATTCTTGTTTGTAGTCAAGTTTTAAGAAAAAGCACTTGAAAATTAAATTTTTTGTCAAATTGAAAATTTTGCAATTGCTTTTTTTATTAATTATGTTTTATTTAATAAGTAAAAGAATGCCTATATAATTATATTTATTTAAAAATTAATATATTTATTTAATAGTTAATGATCGGTTCTTAGAGCGTAATAGGATATCCACTGAATAAAATAAAAAATGGTCATAACTTTAAAACCGTATAATGCGATTGACATCCTCAGATAAAAAGTTTGGAAATGCCTCTGATCGATTTGATCCTTACTTCCAAAGACACTTGTAACTCTATATATGTATTTTATGCAGTCTTCCTACAACTGCCTTCATCTTTCTGCACTTCATTTATCTTGTAAATCAATATATCATTCCAGCAATGGGCATCGCGATGTGTTCAATGATGTTGAACCCGCCTCCAATCCGTCGGTTCATCGCAAACCGGCCTTTCCTGGCGTCTATCATAATTGGAAACACTCCTCACTTCCTGGCGTCGTACTACGGCAGTGATAATTAATATATGTATATATATATATCAAATAATAATATAATTTGTTTATAAAAGTATATTGTCTTTACAAAACTATACTGTACATTATATTTACAGCACCTGAGTACTAATACGTTTTAATTATATTAAAATATATCAATCTATTTTATTAAAATAAATAATGTTATAAATTAAGATATTTTATTCAAATAACGCCCACAATGGTCTTTTTTTTAAAAAAATCATCATTTATAATGTAGGTACCTATAAAGTAGATACCTACCTAAATTATTTTAGTTGAATATAAATTAGGTGTGCTGAATAACTTCCCACAAATATGTTAAAATTCTAGTTAAAACGTGGATTATTATAGTGATTCCTAATTTGAACTGTAACTGTAGCAATATTGTTTCAAGACACACAATCCCTTACAAACACTATGTAGGTACACACAGGGGCGTGCACAGAGATTTGAAGTAGGGTAGGCAGAAGGTATCACATGATTAAAAAAAATTTGGTCTACATTAATCTCGGAAAATAAAACTCCCGAAACATCATAATTTTGAGTCGGTAATTAGGTTTAGTAAGTATTTTATTAATTTGTATAAACAAATTAGGTACATAATTATTTTCAAACTATCCGTGTATAAAGTTGATCAACATAAGTAGATACCTATAGGTATCTATTTTACAAATCTATTAACTAGGTACCTACTTTGGAGCGGCGAAGTACAAATGGTTACACATCAAGCTATGCGACACCAGTATAAACTGACCGTTAAATGCATAGAAAAATCGTACAAAGCGAGATCAAGATGACTGGATTTTAAAAACATTAATGAAATTGGTACACAACCAGTGCTAACAAAACAAACTATACCTATAATCGCAAATCGTAGTTTATTAAAAGAAATAATAAAATTATTACCTTT